CTTCGCATACTTCATTTTATTATAGCATTTCAACAATTTGGCCACAATTTACGAGCTCTGCATGGCATGCAGTGCTGCTGCTTCCTACCGAATTTACACAAAATACAAATATGTATTGTATTTATTTACATTAAGTAATCACTTGGCTGTCAGAATAGCCCAGTAGTTAGCTGCACTTATTACCATGCAGAAAGTACAGGTTCGTGGTACAAGCAACAGCCAAAGTTATGGAAAATAAATTTTTTTAATTGCCGACGCCCATAAGCAGGGAATTTTAAGCACCCCAAGTGGATTTTTGACATGAAATTCATCCATAATTCGGGGACCACTGTAGACTGTTTTATTTGTTGCTAAATCTTTAAAACGTGGGCCACAAATCAGTGAAGGAGCTCGGCCGAGAAATGCTTTAGCGGTTACAATGCGCCCATTATTTTGAATCATTATTAAACACTTGAATGTATGTGCACTGAAAACTCAGCATAAAATAAATAAAAATAAACACTCCAAGCCACATCGGCAGCCCTCTCATTTATTGCATGCTTGTTGCTGAGCAACCTGCTGTGGCACAACAATAGAGTAAGAACATAAATGAAGCTGACGATATCGATGAAATTGCTGATATGATATTTCTGTGTGCATGCTTGTATTTGTGTGTGGGTGGGTGTGTGAGTGTGATTTCAAAAATATTTCCCAAGTAGGCGAATTATGTGCGAGAAACTTGAAATTCCTGCATCAACGCGCTCTTTACGCTGTCAACAGACTCATTGAATAGCGTAAATTCGTTTCACATTTATCAACCGTAAGCAGCGAATGGCAACTGTAAAAGCAACAACTACGGCAACCACATAAAAGAACATACTTACTAACAAGACGTTTAACAATTGCTGTTATATAATACAATGAGAATCGGTAATTTTGTGGTTTAAATGTCACTGCCCTACTCAACTCCGCCCAATATCTGTGAGCCCATTTATCCCTCATTGCCACCTACTTACCTACACCACAGTTCGCCTGTCATTTGGCAAATTTCTACGCCGTCACGGTGTTGCCTCGGCTGATGGTCACTGGCATCACCACTGTCACGCTACAGTTAATAAAAATTTGCGATTTGTTAAGTTCTGTCTGGTTGGTTTTAATTCAATTTGCGGCTGAATGGTAACGCCCAAAAAAAAAGCTAAAAATGTATTTAAAAAAAAAAAAATTGAACAGAGAATGAAGAAAAATTGCAGAGCAAATAAACGTGAAAATTGTGTAATAGAAACCGCACAATGAAAAAATGAAAAGTATATGAAATGCCTGACTTGGCACCTTTCATCGACTGCCATAGACTGATTTTCGTTATAAATGACAGTAAAATAGACTACTTGTGGCCGCTTTGACAGGCGGTCCGAATGCCAATGTTGAGTTACAATTAAAAGTTTGTGTTTGAAATGAATGAGTGTTATTTGAATGGATTGAGTAGTGTCATGGAAAATTATTGAGTTGAGAATAATGAATTTTTTTTTTCCATTTAGCTTTTTGAATTGGTAATCGCATGGTGGTATAATAGAATATAAGCGGAGTAAAAATAATGATTTTAATACAACGTTTGGTGAGAAGCGAAAAATATTCATTCCAGTTCAACAGATATATGACCGAATTTTATGAAGTTTTGTTGAGCTGACACCATTAGCCCATGTACGATAAAGGCTCAAATGGGTGACCCTATTGTGATTTAATATTCTTAAATTCTTACTGAAATGACAATGAAATATTATTAACATTATTTTTTTGTTTTAAATTTTAAGATATGTATAAGTGTGTTATATAATACATTAATAAAAAAGGAGGTGGATGCTGGAGTTTAAGTTTAGTCAACAAAAGCGGAAGTTTTGTAAAAATATTTTCATAATTCGGTTGCGCCTTCTGTCAACACATTTCATTTTATTGTACTTCTTATACGAAAATACCTTTAGTCGTGAAATTAAAATTTTTCCAATAAAAATAAAGTGTGTTTTTATTAGAAGTGTGGCTTTGAAGACAATGATTTTTTTTCTGGTGTTTGTCTGTTTGATAACTTTTACAGTCACATAGTTGCTGTGAAATAAAGCATCGATGAGGACCCGAATGAGCTCACTCGCCATTACGCGCAACCATTAAAATTGTGCCCATCCACTTTTCAGAAGATTTTGCTGAAATTTTTATATGCAGGCTTATAAAATTCAATTCGTGTACATTCAATCGTGAGAAATACCTAATGATACCAATTTTCACATGAAGATTTTTTTGAGCTTTGAAACTCGTAGGTAAGTCCAAGAAGAGGATTTCCTGAAATTGTGTGAAAACTCTTTGTTTCTTCTAAAATATTATTAGGAGTAAATTTTATAATATTTGGAAACAAAACTATTCCAAAACTAATCACTGCAAGCCCAATTAACCTCAATCATTCCAGAGGTATGTAAACAGGTCACAGTTCTTAGACTAAAAAAATCTGTTTACGAACGTATCGAAGCTAACTGAAAGATTTTTGTAAGGAACCACCAACCAACTTTAGGTTCAGGCACCTAGATCAACGTAATCTGAGATAACTTGGATCCAAGAGGCAGTAGAATAATTTTGAGATCCTAAATGTACTTTTGGCGATATGAGGTTCTGATTGAGCTAAATACTGGAAAGCTCTCTAAGAATTCAATCTGATTGTTTTGTTGGAGATATTGGGAGGTTACCTTTGGGTGTGAGAAAAGTGGATTCGTTATGGACAATTGTTTGTTCACATTCGAACAACTGTAAATTGTATTAATTAAACAATTTAATGTTAGATCATAAACCTTATATATTAGTATATTCAATAATTTTAATAAAGGTGTTTTTTATTTCTGTATTCCATATACCCATATTAGCTTTATGATCGAATTAAGTGAAGAAATTTTGTATCAAAATATAGGCTTGATTTAATACACAGTTTTTGAATATTTGCTAAGATACTTAAAGAACACGTTTTTCCTGAAGACTTAATTTTATTGATAGTCAGCTGGCAGTATTAGAGCTCAAGATTTCGTTTGAGGAACACGAGTATTTCAGAAACGAATACAACCTCGAGCAATGCAAGCTTTTACGAGTATTTCAAATAAAATCTTTAATGTCGAAATTTCGGCTAACAAAATTGCAAATCTGAAAACTTCAAATAAACATTGCAGCAGTTGAGAAATTGAGTGAGTATGGAGCGAGTAAAGAAAAGTCAGATGTTGGGAAAGAAAACTCACAACGTAAATAAATATAAAGTTCGCCCGTGTGATAGGGTCTGCAAATAGAAATGACATCGAAACACTTTACTAGTATATGAGTAAGTGTGAGTTGTTTTGATGTATTGGGATAGTGAAACAAATTGAGGTGTGAGAGACATACAGGAAGAAATCCTCAAGAGGGGGTGTTATAGTTATTCGACCTACAGGGTGTGACTGTTCACTTTGAGATGAAGATGCTCATGTTTCCAACATATTAAGCGTGGTGTTTGGGTATACCCCTCATTGGGAGTATAAGGTCGTCTGCTTCGGGCATAAGAGTTTTTATTTGCACCGGATAAAAGTAGCTGTTTGATAAGATTTTCGGCCAGAGCTCGGATGGCTTGGATAACCATCCTGAATTTTTCCACTGAAACGAGTTCTAGCTTATTGTTGCTATTCTTAAGGATCTGGGAGCTCCTTCTTTATGTAAGAGTTTCCAGAATGCGAAGGGATTTCTGCCCCGAAAGTTATTCAATGTGTGGATCTTTGGAAAATTTTCGACGTCCGTCTTCACTCTTGGCTAAATATTATAAATTTCTGGTATTGATGCCAATTCTTCAATACTACCATAAAAAATTATGGATCAAAAAACAATTACAAACTTTTTTAGCTATTTTTGAAGTGCTGTATATCTGTTTGTTGGAGCAGGCTATCGGCCAAAAAATTAGCTTCAGTGGTTATAAAGCGCCATATATACTATACATATAGTAAAGATATATATTCATATATTTATTCATACATAATATTATACATATTTAAAGACCTACGGTTCAAGTCTTTGGTTTAGGCTGACAAGGCATTTCATTCTCATTTTTTTACTAAATAAAATGCTTATTCTTAATGTCTCGTTTTAGGAGATAACAAAAATTATTTTTGGTTTTTATTCCAACTGTTGTATAGATTTTATAGTCAGTTTTTTTTGCGTGTAAATTTGTTTCTTCAAATGTTCCTCTTGTATGATTTGTACAGAATACATACTTTTTTATATACAAAAAAAATAGACTTAATTTTTGATATATCAGCAAACATCAATAGTAAAAAGGAAAATATGTTCAAGATTTTTTCTCGACTTGCTAAGGAAATCAGTTTTTCTAATCCTTAACTTTTGACTGAAGAGGACTTCAGAAAAAATTAACTTAGCAAATGCTTATAAATCATTAAAAAAGCTTTTCTCATAATTGGCATCTTTAAACCACTGGATGTGAAATTAAAAAAAGGAAAAAAATCAAAATAAAATTAAAAATTTCAAGAAATTCAATATTTCAATTATTTTTAAAAATTCAAAATTTCAATTACTTTCAAATATTCAAAACTTCAATAATTTAAAAAAAATATATAAAAAAAAATTAATTTCGTAGAGAACTAAAACAGAGCGAAGAGTGATTTTTTTAATTTAAAAAATTTGACAAACAATTTGTATTTTTAAAAACTGTCTAAACAATTAAAAAAAGTATTAAACACTTATAATCTTCATGCAAAATACCCTGGAAGATGCTCTGTCTACTCACCGAGAGAATTATAGCAGAGCAATGAGTGATGACTGCCACGCCAAAGTGACCTAACCAAACTTCACTCCCTGAGGTATCAACTTTGTACTTCATTACGAATTTTTTATAATTTGAAAACAAAATATTTGCGAAGACGAATACAGACGTTTAACGTTTAAAATAATATGTCTCTTCAGTTCATATTGCGATAAGCAACTAAAGTCACGATTCCGAAATGCAGGATACTTACATTGCCGCTTACTATTCTTATAAACTCCAAGTAACGAGAGCGCACAAGTCAAGTTTACGATTTTAATTTCAGATTTGAGTCAACTCCGCATTGCAACTATTAACTTGGACTGTACCAACTCGTTTGTGTTGTGCATACTAAAAAGCTGAAAGAAACCAAACCAAATAAGTCATTGGAAACAGACTCACACACAAGCATATATATATATTGCAAGCAGTGACAAGCAAATATGTAATATATAACCTTGTGTGTGTTTGTGTATAAATATAAGTATTTACATACATATGTGTGCAACTACATTGCAGCGTTATCAATTCTGTTAACTCTCAGACGTCCGTTGGCCCCCGCGATTAAATATCCGAACATTTCCTCTTACTTGCCAACTTAGTAGCATAAATATGAAGAAGAGGACATGCTGAAAATTTGTAGCTACGAACTGGCGTTGCGTATAAATCACGGGAAATGTACACCATTCCAATGGCATACCAAAAAACTTACGAAAAGTTGTAACCGTTAAGCGAATCGTAAACAGACGGCGGATGATAGCAGAGTGAGTTGTGAGTGGTAACTGGTTGTAAGTGTAAGAAAATGCCAGTAGACGTTGCAATATAGCCAAACCATTATATTGGCTGATAAACGCAAACACCAACACACCTACATACATATGCACACACCAACGCAACACATATGCGTACGCATGTCACAGGCACGCAAGCTAACAAGCTCGATGAGGGCATTAAGCCAGTGCATATTAAGAATGCGAATCATTCAGTTGTAGGAGAAGGAGCACGAGGATGGGGAACAGGAAGAATCTGAGTGATACATCACAACGGGCACGGAGGCATGGTCAAACCATTTAGTGTGAAGCTGCAATGCATGTGGCTGAAGAATTAGTTGGCTTACGCTCTGACCCAATTCAAGTCGTTGCGTAGCATATATATGTATGTGTACGGGTGTGCGGGTGTGCGCGCGATGAAGTATTTAATGCCCGAAATCGCTTGTTGTTGCACACAGAAGAGTATAACAACAATGGAAGCAGCAACCAGCAGCAAACTTAATAATGATGTGCAAAATTTTGTAGGGAAAACGGCAAAACGGAATAACGGAAATGCAATTCTGGGATTTTATTTAAGCATTCTCTTGAGCCATTAACTTGCAGCGTTCGTCTTATGCGCCAAATGTCTACTCCACTCCGCTCCGCTCGTTACACGTCACACGCCTTCCAATCGCGCTTCCCTCGCTCCTCACCACACCCTTCTGCATCAACATGCAGCATTGCGATTTCAATGCTCTACCATGCCTAGGACTGTCTGTCTTTTATTGCTACATTTAATGTTCGGTTCGGGTCGGTACGGTGTGCGGCGTTCGGGCAATTGCTTGCATTTCCAAAGTGCTTGTAAGCATAAATCTTAAGATTGCAGATGCACTGCTCTTGGTTGTTGAAATGTTATATGGATGTGTGTGTGTATGTTTGCACTGGTTTGTTGGTAAATGACTTGCATGTCATGTGGTTTTTGTTATTGCCAGTGCATTTTATTTGTACAGCAGTTATTGTAATTGTACGCTCGTTGTTCGGCAGACGCCCCAATGGTTCAGTGCTAATGTTACTAATGATTTAACTTCAGCAGTCTGGTGCGATTGGTGAAGTTCCTGTTGTTGCAGGATGTAACATGTGTACATTTGTTTTATAAGTACCGTAGTAATTTCCGCTCATTTCCTGTATTTTTTTTCTCTTTTGAATTCAGATGTTTTAGTGTTTGCACGTTTATTTATATTGCAACTTTTTATTAAAGTTTTTTTCTTGAAAATTTTTTTCGTTTAGAACGTCAAAAAATTAGATTTTTTGTTCCTCTAAAATATTAAGAAATCTCCCGTAGGGTACGCTCCAAAAGTTTCAGGTCGAAAATTGAACCTTATATGTTTCTTCTTCATTTTTCGATAATGCTTTTTCAGCGCATAGCAGATTTTCAAAACTTTAAACGCGTTTTCCTCACAACAACACATTTAATATTGGCAACCACAATTACTCGAAAAATACTTCTCCAAATGAGCTGAAATTTCTTGGGTTTCTTCTTTATGCCTTAGCCTTGACTGTAAAGTTAAACGATTTGGAATTTTTATGTTGCAATATTGAATAAATAAATTGAATAAATAATGCAAAAATGGTTGAAAAAATAGTGAAAATTATGGTTTTTTACAAAAACTTCTACAAAACGCAGAGTTATTTTTTTTACCGACAATTTACGTGGGTATTTAAGCCAAAAATCTTTAATGGGCTGTTACAGATCAATAATACGACGTCCAGTGTGGTTGCCGTTTTTTTTTTGGAAATCGAGTACACGCCAGCGCACAGCAATCCTCTGTTCAGAAAAAGGAAAAATAAATTTTTTACATTCCTCATTTATATTTCATGTATCTACCCCCTTGATCTTTAGCCCATTATTGTAGACCATGACTCTCCGCATAGTCGCATGAACTGCTACGCACGGGATTACAGCGGCTGCCACATCGAGATTACCTCAAATAGACTCCTTTTTATTTTACGTAATTTTTCAATATTAAGTGGTAAAATTCACAGGACAGTCAGTGGCATGCAGAACCAGATTTTTTGATATTTTTTATTATTTCGATATTTTTTTTGCGTGTTGTATGTTTCGAAAGGCATAACCCTTAACCTCTTGACATACCAGCGAAAAATAATGACTAGTTTGCTAGCCGAAAGATTTTACTATAATTCATCACTTTTATTCAAAGTTCTTTTAAATATTTTGTTCTATAATATTTCATGATGCTGGCTACCATATATATGACATTAATTAGTTTTTGGCAAGTAAAAGGGAAGTGTGCACTCGTTAAGGTTTAAATCAACTGAGTTAATAAGGAAAAATAGAAATCCTGGGAGTAGAAAAAATTGGCACAATCGATTTTAATCAGTGGTCTAATATTGACCTGATAAAACCAAATTCCCTTGCTTTAGGTCAAAGCTATGTGCTTTTAGACGCTTGCTTCCTTCAGGCAATCCAAATTACTGGCAGTATATGTCCGAAATAAAAGTTTGGCCGTAAAGAAACAGCTCATAGTGAATGATTCTTTCCCAATCCCACCAAACACACAAGAAAACCATCCTGGCCGTGAACGTTTGTGCTTGCTCATTGCTCTTCGGCTATGACCGTTTTTGTCTGACATTGTTGTAAGTAAACTACTTTTTTAAAACTAGTCACCATCCGCTTCAAAAATGCTTCAATTTTATTACGATGAAGCAGCGATGCGCAAATGGAAAATAGTTTCACTAATGTGTGGTATATTGCAAAACTAATGGATACCTAGTGACTCTTCTATAGTGCAGGAGCTGGCTGTAAAGCTTTGAAAGTACTTATGACTATGCATTTTCTACATTATCGGAACTTTTAGAACAAACCAACCGTAGCAGTATTCATAATTGTCGCTAGGACACGAAATATTATAGCCTTTTCTGGAAGAACACGAATATAATACGTCCTTACGCAAGTGCATTTTGGCAAGCTTTTGACAGGCGGCGCCCGACCAAAGATGAGAAGGTCATTAAGGCTGCCAATTGGTTTACAATCTTTCAAGGCAAAATATTTGCTTTAAAAATGGCGGCAGATACGAGAAAAATAAGAACTTAAGTGGAAATCGAAGTGGGATTCGAGGATTTAATTTTATACCGGTGGGTACAATCCAAAAATTTTTTGAGAAAGAAAAGTTCACATTTTTTTAATATCCGACAGTAGAAGCACAACAGGCAATGAGATAACCAATGAGCTGGCTAAAAAGTAAGTATTTTCAGAATAGTGGGTAACTATGCCGATACCAGTTATATTCAGCTTATTGGTTTTGAAAACCAAAAAATGCTGTAAAGTAATAAAATTTTTGTACAAAATAGTAAAATATGGGAATTTTATTATAAAATTTTCATAGAATCAACAATTGACCTCAGAGTATCGATTGATATAAGGTCCATTAGCATCTTGGTGTTGCTTTCACTTTCAGACAACCTGTCAGGAAACGCACGAATTTTCGGCTGACAAAGTACAGCTCTTTTGTGGTATAAAATGCATCTGGTAACACTAACAAGGTACCAATTTCACCGTTTATATGATACTCTAAAAGGTGTTAATTCCTTCAAACAAACCTTTGTAATTCATAATTAATCAAGAAATGCATCGCTTTGTTTTAAGTGAGCTCTTCAACTACCTACCTATTTTATTCTAAAATTTTGCGAAGAAAACTATTGATTTTTCTATTTTATATATTTATCCGATAAATGAAGAAATTGCCTTTATATATGGCTTGACAAACTGTCATGAAAAATTTTAATGAAAAATAAACCAAAAATTGTTAAAGTTATTTCATTTGTTTTGGTTTTAGCACATATCTTTTGGAGTATCAAAAAATATTGTAAAAATATATTTAAACTGTTATTGATTGAACAAAGCCAAAAAAAAGTAGTCGGTATAAAGTTTGGTGTCGCATTTATGTTTTTGCCTTCTTCCACAAACGAAAACAAATTTTAGATAACTGTATTAATATTAATTATTACTAAACTAAGTAAAAAAATATGTCAACTAAAAAATAAAACACGGATATTGTCACTAATATTAAATGGAATATTAATCGCGTATTTGTCATTTGCATGCTAATTCTTTTGCAGGGAATTTTTTTTACTCTTTTTTTATGTAAAAGTTTCATAAAATTTTATTATTTCAACCTTTTTTTATAGATTTAAGAAATATCTGAAATAAGAGACAATTCAATATTTGTTTAAAACTTAATAATTCATATCACGTCACTTGCATGTGATTTGAAAAAAAAATTGTAACTCGTTTATAAGCTTTTTTGATTTATCCTTTCGTGGATTCCAAAATTACAGGACTGTATTTTGATATCCTTCAACCCTAACTGTCAAACCAAACACGTTTTGTTTTAGCTAAAAGTCTGGTATTTGTGAAAATTAATCGCTTAACAACTGCCCCACCTGTTAAAATTGTGACCGAGTTTTGTGTTTCAGGAGGAGATTATGGTGCACATAATCGTCCAACTTCACAAATTGGTAAAAAAAATTTTCTTGTCTTCTTCGAAAAAGTAAAGTGGATAAACCTCATATGAAACAGTATCTGACTTTGATTCTATGGCTTAGAACTGAGAAAAGTTGTGGTGCTCAACGTTTTGAAATGGCTTCATCTTGTGGTTACTTTGAAATAACAGTAATGCCGGAAGGTCTCTTAAATTGCCTTTTGATATATATATATACACTTTAAGAGACAATTGGCGCTTTGTAACCGCTGTAGCGATTTTTCAGTCTAGCCCCTCTTCGAATTTGTGGTTTTGCGTATTGATGTTTTTCCACCAAATGGAGGGACCCACAGTTTATACTAAGCCACCTCCGAACGAGTGATGGTTTTTTACGTGGGGACTTTATTTCATTCCAGAAATACACTTCCCATTCCCAGCCGAGGGGCGACCGCAATCAGAAAATTTAACTTAATTTTTTGATTTAATTAATTTTCCACAACTTTTGGATATTAGTGGCACCGAGATATGAAACCAGCCGAGCCTTAGCAATATCTGATTGAGTAAGCTATAGAGTGACTGCTCGCGGTAACGCTCTCCATCTCATCAGTTGGAAATGTTTGATTATTAAAGAAAAGCTATATAAGAGAAAAAGGACTCCGTTATTACCTACGCGGGGAATATAACGTTGATATGTATATATTTACATTTTATTTAGGCTTAAGCTCACCGGGTCGATTAAAAATGTTTTTTGATTTCTACCAAACGCCAACCAAATGTGTATAAAATATCGTATCAATTCGCAAAAATTTTCCAAACTGAACAATTCCAAGTATAGGATTATTACTTATTTAATTATTGTATTTTATCATTCACTAGGCACATCAAGTAAATGGCACTCGTGTTACGTAAGGCTTTATTAAAAACCCGGCTTTACAGTAAAAATAAATGCAATTAAAATATATATAGTTTTCATACAAAATATAACGGAAATGTTGCCTAAATACAAAGCAAAAAATAAATATTATAGTATTTTGACAGAAAACTCCCGCAAGTCGGCAGACATTTTTGACAAAAATCTACAATTTAGCTAGAACAAAAAAGAGAGTCCGTAACAAAAAATTGTTTTTACGTACACATATGTGTACATGTATATTTTTGAAATCACTCAACAAAGTATGCCCATTAAAAAATACAAATGCGGTTTTTACTGCTTTTTAAATGTTCGCAATTTGTATTTTTCTTCCTCTTTTTCGTAAATATTTTTTTTCACCTTGGCTATTGTCTGCAACAAGCAGTTTTTGTTATGCATTCACCACACACTCTCACTGCCACAATAATAATTCATGCGCCATGAAACTAACAATAACAATAACAATCACTTAAATATTTAACATGTGTGCACACATACATACATACTCGGACACTCACACCCGCGCTTGCAACATCATCATATAATATACGTAAACCAATTTACATGATACAGGACAAGCGATGCTCCATTTTTTCGGTGGCAGGTGCGCCATAGCGGTATCTAAAGTTTGACAGACAACAGGCGGCGTTTCGGCTCAGCAGCCTCACGCCACCCGCCAAGCTTAATAACTGGGAAAAAGTTGGCAGCAGCATAAGTAAATTGCAGCGTTGTTGCACTAACACTAATAAAAAATTTACACATTTACGGCAATGGGTGTGTATGCATAGGTGTGTGTGGATCTATGTGTTGCAAAATATTCCGGACATGTGTAGATTGTTATGGAAATTTTATTTTACTTTTTTTTGTGTTTTTATTTAATTTTTTTTTTTAATTCATATTATTACTTTTATTTTTGAGCTGCGAATAATGGAGCTTTTCTAAAATCCCTTTAATAGTTTTATAACCAAACTCTGCACGACGCCCTTTGCCACCCTTTACACACATTATAACATTTATGCGAGAGTACGTTGTACGTTGTTGAGTCACCCATTCGATGCGCTTGAATTATTTGTGTACACATGCATTCATACATATGCATGTTTACTCTCCTCATAGCTTGTGAGTGAGTGCATGTGTGCGTGTGTTTATTGTTTACAAGTTCAGCGATTTAAATAATCACAATGCCCGCTTG